TTTTTTTTTTTTTTTTTTCGTCTATATCTATATTCAGTTTCTTAAGTAAGTGAATTGTCGATTTAAATCCGTCATAGGAGCAGACTGTGCAGTTCCCTTGTTCAAATTTATCGATTGACACATTGCTTGATTAGACGTATAATCCTGAAGCTTTAATTAATTCTACTTCGATCTCTCTATCTTTTTTACTTGAGAATTGAGATTACCAAGTTACTACCATGAGAAAATCGTATCAAATTTAGTGTTTATAATTTTCCATATCAAGTCAAAGGCTCAACTCAAGACAAAGGCACACAAAATTCATCATGATCAACACGAGATAACATATGAATACTATTTATGTGCCTTTTGCCCGCCCCCTGTTATGTAGGAATTAATGGACTTGTGTACGCCGTTGAAATATACTACACAACATGCAAGTACGTCCACGGAGGGAAAAAGGGAAAGAGAAGAAAAAAAGAGACGGTATGTAGAAAACTATTGATTCGAAAATAGAGGACAACCATAGAGTTAAGAGAAATGAATGGTGAGGCTAGAACTTGGGTGAGCCTTTGAGGTGGGCGTATTTATTACTGCTCATTCCCGCAATCCTAAGATCATTTTAGTAATTGATTAGTATCCATCTCTTCATCATCATCAACTTTATACTATATTTTACCTTGCCTTTGTTCCCTCGAATTCTTCCTCTTTGTATATACTGGGAAAACCGAATAAAGGATTCGAGGAACCAAGGAACTCACTCAACATATATATACATATATTATTAAACTAGCCAGCTAGTTTTGTATATATACAATACAAGGGAAATAATAGTAATAATAATAATATTTAGAAGAAAAAAAAAAACGCAAAAATGTTGGGGAAGATTGCAGTATCTGTGTTGTCCCTGCTTCTAGTGGTAGGGGTAGTGATTGGCGTGGTAGGGGTGGTGAAGAACCACAGCCAACCGGAGCAACATGACATGAGCGGGTCAATGAAGATGATAACGTCCATTTGCGAGAGCACCAACTACAAGGAAGCCTGCGCAAGCAGCCTCGAGTCCACCGCCAAGAACTCGTCGGCCACGCCCCTCGACTACATCTCGGCTATAGTGGGAGCCCCCCTGGGCGAGGTCCGCAAGGCCATCGAGTCGTTGGCAAAGATCGACGTCAACAATGCAACCGACCCTGGGGACTACGTGGGGCTTGAGGACTGCAAGGACCTTCTCGACTACGCAATCGACACGTTGCAAGCGTCGGTCTCCATGGTCGGGGACAGCGACCTCCACACGATCGAGGATCGCGAGCACGAGCTTCTCAGCTGGATGTCCGCTGTCTACTCCCTCCAGACCACCTGCCGTGACCAGATCGACAATCCAGGCTACAAATCCGCCGTTGAAAACGGGATGCTCAATGCCACACAGCTCACTCATAACGCAGTCAACATATTGGCCGATATGTCTCAGCTGCTAACACTCTTCAACGTTCAGCCTAAACGTCGTCGGCTGCTCGCCTCCGACGGGTACCCCAAGTGGTTTTCGGCAGCCGATCGCAAGCTTCTGGCTAGAAACAGTGGCGCGCCGCGGCCCAATGTTGTTGTGGCCAAGGATGGGAGCGGGCAGTTCAAGACGATCGGGCAGGCGGTGGCGGCCCACCCCGGCGCGAAACACCAAGGGCGGTTCGTGATCTATGTGAAGGCCGGGATCTACAACGAGCAGGTTATAGTGGACAAAAGTAAGGTGAACTTGTATATGTACGGGGACGGCATAGACCGAACGATAGTGACGGGAAGCAAGAACTACGGGAAGCAGGGGACTAAGACGATGCACACGGCCACGTTTGCGAACGAGGCCCCCGGGTTTGTGGCGAGAGCGATGACGTTCAAAAACATGGCGGGGCCGGAAGGGCACCAGGCGGTGGCGTTCAGGTCGTTGGGGGACAAGGCGGCCATATTCGACTGCAGCTTCGAGGGGAACCAGGACACACTCTATTACCAGTCGTACAGGCAGTTCTACCGCAACTGCAGGATATACGGGACCGTGGACTTCATTTTCGGAAAGGGAGAGGCGGTGATCCAGGACAGCGAGATTATTGTGAGGAGGCCGATGCCTGGGCAGTTCAACACGGTGACGGCCGACGGGAGGGAGATACGCAAGGGGAGCAACGGGCTCATCATACACAACAGCCGAATCACGGCCGACAAGTATTTACACCCGATTAGGTTTCAGGTGAAGACGTACCTAGGGAGGCCGTGGACGGAGGAGTCGCTCACCGTGATCATGCAGAGCGACCTGGGCGACCTCATCCGGCCAGAGGGGTGGAAGCTTTGGGATGGGGCCAGCAACCACAAGACCTGCCAGGTGTTGGAATACGCCAACAGAGGGCCTGGCTCACTCACTCGCCGCAGGGATAGACAGTTCTCCCATTTCAAGGTTCTCAACACGGCTGAGGCCTCCAGGTACACCCCTGGAGTTTTCCTCGCCGGAGGACAATGGCTGCCGGAGACGGGTGTTCCACACAACCTCAACCTCTATTAATTTAATTTAATTTTATCATAATTGTTATTATGGAATTCATTTAATTTAAAAATATATATACCTTACATAGGTATATATTTATATGTATTCATTCTTTTATTATCTGGACATGTTACGTGTTTGTTTGTACGCATACATGATACATACTTACATTTGTAATTTGATGGTACGCAGTGAAAGTTTATAAATTATATATATATATATTAAATATGTTTAATGCTAATTGTTGTAATTTGGTCGTATTGAATCAATCTCATTTCACTTTGCTTTAGGATTTTCTGTTTTTGTCCACAAAATTGTTTTGGTCGTGAAAAATAATGGATTTGATGAACCACAAGTGGGCTGGGCTTTCTATATTTTAATTTGCGAATAGGATTAAAACGCACTTTTATTTATGAAGTTGCAACTTACGATACCATAAACTATATTAATTATCTCTTATCTTTTTATTTGTGTAAAGTTCATAAATTGACTTACTTATTTTGGAAATTCGATTTAAATTATAGTTTTGAATGACTTTTGATCTTCATGTTATTAAATTACGTATAGTACATATTTGAATTACTTATTTATGGTACAGATTTCTAAGGAAAATTTACTTCAAATTCAGTGCCATCTATAAAGGATTATGTTATTATTTAAAAATCATTTATAAATTAGAATTTTAGTTAGTTGTTCGAGAACTTAGTATGTAAATAAATCATGCATATCATGTTTAACTGAAATTTATTTAGAATATTAGTGGAGATATTTTCTTTACAGAAACGTTTGGCCGTGAAACTTAATTTCTATTTTTAATTTATAATAAAAATATTATTTGAAATCAATTAAATAAAACTTAATGTTATACTTTTTCATAGATACATTGAGCTATTATAACAGACATCAAAATATTCCTTTAAAAAAATTCGTCCTTTGTAATTACCATAACAAAAATGGCACCAATTAACACAAATGTAATCTGAAATTTTTACTTACATATTATTTGACCGATTATAAATTCACCATTTAAATTTACACACTAATAAATGACAAACTTATTTAATTAAATAAACACATGAACGAATTATAAATATAAATCAATATCAACCAAATTTAATTTTACCCATTTTATTGCATAGAAACACATCTAAATAAATAAACCATATATCAAATAATTTCAATTTTACATGCCACCCAATTTTACTCAATGTTCGCTAATTATTTTCGCTATCCGCAAGTGTACGGAGTAACTATAGGTAGTGGCGAGCAAGGTCGTATTCCACAGAGATTGTAGTTAAATTAATTAAGTACTAAAATAATGACGATTAAATATTATCTAGACTAGTGAATTGAATAATGATTATAAACTAAGAATTAAATAAAAAACTAATTTATCTAAACAAATAAAAATAAAATAAGATACAAAAAGGTAGATTCTAGGTTATGCTTTCCTCGGAATTAATTCATGAAACGTTTATATTCAAACAAACCTTATTTAATTTTACCAATCGTAGAGATAATCGCTAAATTGATTTCAAACCTTTCTCTCGAACAAGTCAAATCGTAGATATTAATTGTATCTATCTCCTCTCGGTCTCAAGATGAACAACTAACTCCCATAAGTTCCTAGGATTTTCGTTCTCTCGCAAGGTCCTATCAAGTCTGTTTATTCTCTTACGTTATAAATCTTCCAATTCTAGCAATCAATTATCTCCTCTCGGTCTCAAATCGATCACAAATATGCATTCATTGTGGCCATCTACTCACACAATAATAATAAGCACAAGAAATTTATAAACGAAAGATAAACCGGAATGAAATAAATAAAAACTAAATCATAAATCAATCCGAGTACTAACAAATCCTAGAATCTAAAATAAATCTAGCCTAGAAACATGCTTTCAAAATAAGAAAAATAGATATAAAAGATTGAGTTCGAAAGAGAAAAAGAAAAAAAAAAAAAGAAAAAGCTTATTCGGCTTCGTCGATCCTTTCTTCCCGGCTTTCTCCCTCGTCTTGCTCGTGTTTCTAGCCTCCAAGAGTCTCCAAAATATGTCCAAGACTCCTCAAAAACGTGTCCTAGTGTCTCTTAAATAGTTTGGGTCGAGTCCTAGTCGAAATAGGTCGAAAAACTCGTCAAAATAGGAAAAACCCGTAATAGTCGATTTTGTTGCGTCCAGGGTCACACGACTCGTGTCATAAGCCACACGAGTCGTGTGACAATGCCGAGAGACGACACGACCCGTGTCTCGGGCTCACACGAGCCGTGTGAAACTGGGCGTCTAAAACTCCCTTTTGGTCGCGGTTTTCGTCTCCTGGTGTGCTCTACGTCATCTCATACATCGTAAAGGTTTTCTGGACGACTTATTTCCGATTCTCAGCGCGTCTCCGGCTAGTTCTGGCAACTTCCGGCCACCTGCTTTTCCTTCGGCGTGGACAGCGATCAGAAACTCCTCGGTGGCTTTCAACTGTTCTGTACGGATATCTGGTTGTAGGTACGGAGGTCTGATCGGCGGCGTGACATCGTAGACGAGCAGCGAAGCTCCTCGCAGGCCGCAGCTCTTTCATGGCGGATGTCAACGTCTGTTACGTGAAATGCTAGAGGAGGGAGATGATGGCTTGCTGGCAAAAGACTAATCTACCCTTACTTAAATGGATTTTGGGCCACCAAATGCATAACATCTCCAATTGGGCCTTTTCTTTGTCATTCAAAGTACTGCGGCCCAACAAACATGACCACCTTTTATTCCAAGTAGTGGGCTATGTCCCAATCTATTTTGTCTTGCCCGATTTGCGTCCGTTTTCACCACCAAAAATTATTTCGAACCTATTTTCTGTCAAAACTCAAAATAATACACCTTCATCATAGCTTAATAATATAACAAAAAAAAAAATAGCATTTTCAAAAATTATTTTGTATTCTGATTGCAATATCAGATTCAATTATATCTACAAAATATTATTTCGCAATTTTGTTACATAATTTTAAGAAAATTCAATTAAAATATTTTTCTTAAAGGATTCGAATATGTCTCATTTTATGTTAGTGAAAATCCAAACAAATAGTAAAATATATCTCATTTAAAAAATTTGTTATTATCTTATCTCAAATAAGTTGGACGAAATGGAAACATCACAAATCTTGAACGATTTTTTTAACTAGAACCATATATATCACATTTAGCACAAATAATTTACCACATCTATATAAGTAGTCAATTACACAAATCATTTACCACAACCATTTAGCATTTTTTTAATCTATAGAATCTGACTAATTTCATTTTTTTCCACCATATCAATATGTCGCTCGTGTTGGGTCCTTTGAAGTTAGTTTCCTGAACAAATAATCCATACTTGAAATTAAGACTTGTTTGTATATTTGAAAGAAAATTTGAAGCGAAGTACAAAAATGTGTTGGAACTAATTTTCCAAATGTTCAGTTGCATTTGAAGATTGAAACTCCCGTCATGTTGTTGCGGAACATGGATCATTCTATGGGTTCATGTAATGGGGCATGTTTATAGTTTTTTTGCCGAGTACGATCGAAAGATCTCACTCGGGTCGTCTTCTCGAAGGAAGGTTGTTAGGAGCTTCGTTCACTATTCGAGTCGTCAATTCACAACACCGAAAATAAGGTCCTAAACATGCTACTCGCTTAATTTGAGGGAGATTAAGCTAATTTTACACTATGAATTGGAAGCAATTAGGAAAGATGAGATTTAGCGAAAAAAGATTGGAACTTTAGTTGCACGGAGTCACCATAACTTGACGAAAATAGAAATAAACGAAGAGAAAACATGCGAGCAAAATGATCCTAGGTAATCCTACTCGAGCCTTCTAAACTAAATCATCACGCTTTGAGCAAAATCGAGAACTTTATACAAGATAAGCACGTATTGAATTCCTAACACACTTAAGCAAGCAATGAAAATAAAGTAAAGTCCTAAAATCGAGCATCAACACAAAATTTCGTCCAAAACACAAATTTGAAGCAATATGCCCCAATCAAGGTACTTACCCTCCTATCGCAAGCTCGAAATTGGTAATCAACCATATACCAAAACATTTTTTATCGTATCTTCAAAAAATCATTTAATCAAGAACATTATTTTATAATCCTTTGATTTTTCAATAACTCAACTGATTTGGTTTTTTAAAAGTTGTAAACACAATTTTCCACAAAATATAAGTACAAAATAAATTTTGAAATCAGTTAAAAAAATCTTATTGATATAACTACCACAATACTACAATATAATTGATATATTAACATCAATAACAAATCCCTCTTATCATTTGATAACGAGCCATATACTAAAAATTTTATATTCAAAGAATTAAAAAATATCATTTGATTTTATCAATAACAGCACCGGACTGTTTTTCTAAAATTCATATTGTGGTTTACGATATCATTAAAATTTCATATACATTAGTTAAAAATAAAATTTAAAATATTTATAATATACATTATTATAAGTTATAAGAAAAAATAAAATACTATTAAAACTAATATTGTAATAATATATGAGTAAGAGAACACACACACACACAAAGAGAGAGAGAGAGATATTCAGTGAGTATTATTTATTGATAATATTTAAATATGTTAAATTTTTATTATCTTTAATTATAAACAGAAACTCTAAAATGACAACTATTTTATAACGAGTGATATAAATATATAGATAACATATTAAATTATTATATCATAAAATAAAAGAAAATAATTAATATTAATATTCAAAATTATTTTTATACTAATCAATATTTTATTACTTTAATACAATCAATTTATAATTATTGTCTCGTGCATTGCACGGGCGATGTACGAGTTTATTTATATGAGCTTTAGATATATCGAAATATAACATTAACTAGTACAATACCCGTGTACTACACGGATACTTAAATATATTAACATTTGTACAATAAAAATTAAAGAAAAAATCATAAGTTTTATTGTGAAATTATATATGAAGAATATGCAAAAATAATAAATAACCAACAAAGTAATAATTAATTCAAATGGTGCCCGCATTTTTACACTAAATTTGTCAAAAAAGATATTTTTAAATTATATTTTTAAAAACATGTATGTCTAAAACTAATATTATTTACAACTCCATATATTTGTTTTTTTAACAAAATAAGTTTTATTGTATTGTTATTATATTTTATATTTATAGAGTCAGGGTCTCACGTGTATTAATTTTGCAAGTACTTTAACTTCATATAATTTATAATTTAGAATTGACGTAGAAATATATTATTTTCTAACTTTATGAAATACAAAATTATTTTATCATATATAATCATGATATTCTTTTATATTTACTATTTTAAATAATATAATAGATTTTGTTTTTTTATAATCTATTTAATTGAGAAATAATATTCTATAATATTTCTTAAAAACAAATCCCTAAATTCATGGGAAAAAAATAAAATGATTATTTTATGGCGGATTAATAAATTAGATTTTTATTATTTTTATAAAATAATTTATATTGTTATTTGATGTATTTTAAATTGAATTTATAATAAAATTAATTTTATTTATAAATATAGGTTATATTATTATTTATTTTATGTATTCAATATAGATGCCAAATCGAAGATCGTTAAAATAGGATTATTTTTGTAGATCATATATAAAAAATAAAATACACATAAAAAAGTTATAGAGTTTTAAAAATAAAAGAAATACATATTTATAATAATTAATATATGAGGTAAATAAAAAAGATAAGATTAGTATATGGTAACTTAAGAATAAAGGAAGCTAAAATAGTTTAAAATAGTTTTTTATAATCTCAAGACTAATAGTCGAAACCAAACATGAACACGTGTCACTACTAAGCATCAATTTATGTCAAATAAATTTACGAAACATACAAATCTGCCACTTAAACTCAAAACATTCAAGAATTATATATAAGGGCGATTCATTACATTTTATGCTATTTATATATTTATTAATTTATAAGTAAAATAGGATAAATACATTGTCATTTATATTAATGATCAAATTTATAAAAAGTGATATGTATATCATAAGTTTTATGACTATACATATAATATTCATGCATATAATTTATTTTTATTTGTATTTGCATATGCACGGAATTAACTATTAGTTTAACCAATTGTGCAGCAATGTTTTTTATTTTTTCTCTCAAATAATTACGATGCTTATCTGGAGACAGTTTTATGTGTATATTCGCATTCAATTCTCAATAAGTAATAGGTTACCTAATGTTTAAAAAGATGAATCTGGATTTGGCACCTTAATAACTTAGCATTAACTGTGCTGTATCACCAGCGTTTATATGCTTGTAGCAATAACCTTCCCCTCTATATATTAATTCAAAACGGGTTGAATCTAAGTGGTAGTCTCGAATGTTTTGGGATCTTATATAGCAAAATTACATGTTTCGTTATTAGGGTTAAGTGAATTTTAATTTACTTCCAATCCAAAAATAATTAAGTTCGAATTATCCGTAAATATGTTGATTATTTATGGTCATGTTACATGTATTAAATGTATTTCAATATTATTTCTTATTATAACTATTGAATTATAAGTATAATTTAAAAGTTAATAACTTTTGTATTTTTTATCCGTTTTACATATATAATATATCAAATTAATCATCTCATGATGAGCTTCGGTTTAACATCGGAATTTTAATGCTATTTCAAGTAAATGTCTCTTTCTCTCTCTCTCTCTCTCTATTATACACTAATAGATTTTAATTTTAATTGCCTAACTGCTGTAGTGATTTTAAAATCATAGCGTAGAGTGAATATATGATTGGACTTAATAAATAAGATATCGATTATAAATAAAGATATTTTAATTGTTGTTCAAAACTAAAAAGGTTATAGTGAATAATTAAATCTTGCATCAAACAAGATAAAATTTTCGTTCCTATATGATGCAATAAGAGGATAGTAAAATATAAAGGGAATCAATTGAATCCAATACTGATGGATTATCAGAACGTTTTTCTTTTTTAAGAAAATAATGTCTATAAGAGCATAATTTTGGTAACTAAATCAATATTTTGACTACATGAAACCAATGTTCCATATAAAACCAAAATTAAAATTTTCAGAATTTTCATGCCAAAACAATCGACCTCTACACGCATATTTTTAAGATTTTCATGCCCAAGGAATTGACTTTCCATCCAAATAAAACCAATATTCAAAATTTTTGATCATTTCATTCCAAAAAATCGGTTTTTAGATTTCTAAAAATAGTAATAAATTTATTTTTTGACGAGAAAAAGTTACTATTTAAAAAATAATCAAACTTTTTTATATACATATAGATTTATCAGTATGTCCCACCTAAACTATTAAACACTAATCAACTGCAATTTCACATTTTATAGCATATATAGATATTTCCTTTTCTATAGTCGAGTCAAATACAAATTTATACAAGTGCTCAGTGAATGTAGGTTCTAATTTATTAATAATAACATTCTGCACCTCTAAGAATCATATTTAACAGGCATGACATATGTTTGTAACTCATATTAAACCAGCCTAACCACTAGAATTTCAAAATTTGACCCTACTGTCTATACAATTTTTTTAATTATTGAATCAACACAAACTTATCTAATGGTGAAAACCAATGAGGACAATGTCATATGGTATCGAACTTGCCTATAGAATCAATAATTTTTTCTCAAATTTAACACAAACGCAAATGTGTTTGTCAACAATATTCCTTTATTTAATTCGCCATGTATTTGTTCGCTAAGACGTAAGTGTTGATTAAGCATGAAAAAACAAAACTAAGACAATTGCATAAATATTATGTATATTGAATTTCTTGACGATTTATGTGTATAAAGGCCAAGTCCAAGTCCCTCGTTGACTTTTGGATTGCCATAAAAAGATGGGTACATAAAGAGGATCTCTCATTAAACATGAGTATGGTCGGCAGGCTGCAAGTCATAATTACAATAAAATTACCCTAATGTCTAAAGTTTCTTCCAACAATTACTACCTATATACATGATCTATTAATGAAGTTGTTAATTAATCAATAAACAATGAGCAGGTCATTTCAGTTGAGATTATTAATCAACAAATGTTACACTTATAACTATTTTTGGAAAATTTTCACCCTAGCTACTCAATATCTGCAGTATCACCGAATTCTCTACGATTGAATTAACACACATATATAAACATGTGTGTAAAGTGACTCAACGATAAAAATCCTGCAGTCACCGGTAGAATCGCCAACAACCAATTCTTAGTCTTTGGGATTCACGATAATTTGATTAATATTTAGACATAGATGTGAAATTACCTCATTCATTTTTTGTCCTTAGAGAAAATGGCTGAAGTTTTTTCCTTTGAATCGTGTTAGGTCTAATTCCTATTACTTTGGCTGGATTATTTGTAATGCATATTTACAATACAGGTGCGGTAATAGGTTGATTAACTAACGGGAGATTTTATTTTATTTTTTGTTTGGCCTCCTCCTTTGTTTAAAATCCAAAGGATGAAATGAAGCTAAATTAACTAGTTTGTAGTTAGAAGTAAAAGAAGATAACGATGAAGGAAATTAATGAGAGAAGTATATTGTAATAGAAGATAGTGCTTTGCTCACCGTATACACGCATTTCAAGCTTTTATATATCTTAATTAATGAGAACGAGAATAAAAATATGGTGGCACTCCACCCAAACTCTTTCCCAACAAACTAGCCAACTACCAAATAACCATGTTATTTCAATAAATACCACTAATACTAACGATTAGGTTTATTTACTTTAATACCACTAACCATAATTAAAGCTCACATTCAACTCAGCCTACAATTTGAGCAGCAATCATAAGGAAAAGAAAAAGAAAATTACAAAACAAGACTCTCCAACTCCCATAAAATGTTTTGGAAGAGGTTCGGGGCCAATGGTGATATTTCTTTCTCTTGGAGGGCTGAGCCCGCAATATATTTATCAAACCTCAATCTTTGACCACAGGCACATAAAGAAAAGTTGAGTCTTGGAATTTTCATACTCGAGTCCTTGCTCATCAAGAAACATGGAAAGTTTGACATCACCAACTTGGCTCGGCCTATAGGCTATATGTATAAAACTCGAATATGTTCTTATTTCTTACTCATCTCATCCTTTGATTCAATCAAGCCTTAATATTGTTACTGTAGCTCAACGATCCACCAACTGGGCTTTCTTATACAAATACTAATCATTTGAATTCCATATACAAGTACTAATAATTAATTCAAAAGCAGGTGGGTTTTGTTTTTATTAATCTTTCCACCTTTTGACCTTTTCTTTTTCTTCTTCTTAATCTCCCTCCTTTTGTCCCCCGAACAAACTCTGTTCCAACCTGTGATCTGGGTTTGGTGTTAGCTGAAGTAAGCAGCTCTCTCTTTGGGTGTTCTTCTTTCTTTGTTTACTTTATTATTTTGTTTCGTGTATTCATTTCATGCCTGGGCAGACAAGGAAAGTAAATGAAGATCTGATTGATTTTGTGTTGCTTTAACACCATTTACTATTTGGTATCTTGTGTGGTTATATATGGGTTCTTCTTCTGTTTATACCTTTGTGATATTATTTCAAGTCCTCCATTTCTCAGTTAGATTCTTAATCATCAATGTGTTAATTGGCCTCAAGGTTTTAATTAAATGATTGGTCTTCTGCCAGGCAATCAAGAATCTTTTAGTGAAATTAATAGCTGACTTATATTTGAGCTGCTGTGACATATTAAAGCTTTTTGTGTAATAACCATTTTTTTTCCTTCTTCTCTGATTTTGGCAGAGCTTGATATCAGAAGTCGATCAAGCTTGTGCCGACACGGCCATGTCAACAAATAACGATGATGAGGCATCCACATCTGGTGGTCATGCCAGCAATGCAAGCGATGACTCGAAAAAGGAGGAGACTAATGCGGTGCCCTTCTATAAGCTGTTTGCCTTTGCTGATTCCAAAGACAAAATTTTGATGATTGTTGGCACCATTGGTGGCATCGGCAACGGCTTGTCCCTTCCTCTTATGACTATACTTTTTGGAGAATTGATTGATTCCTTTGGTGAGAATCAACGAGTAGGTGTTGTTGAAGTTGTTTCAAGGGTAAGCACCTCCTCCTCAGCTCTCTTATGAACAAGGCTTTTGTAATACTTTCTGATTTTTTTTTCTTTTTTTTTTTCTTTCAAAAAGGGTCACTTTCTGAAAATTTTCATGTTGGTTTTTCAAAATCTTATCTGCAGGTAGCACTCAAGTTTGTGTATTTGGCAATAGGATGTGGTGTTGCAGCATTCCTTCGTAAGTAAAAATAAATTTCATAAAGTATTTGTCAGGAAACATAGTTGAATTAATAGTACTTATCAACTCAGAGGAACTCAAACACCCTTTTTTTTTTTTTATCATTATTAAAAATAGAGGTGGCTTGCTGGATGATCACTGGAGAAAGGCAGGCTGCACGGATTAGAAGCCTCTATTTGAAAACAATCTTACGACAAGATGTCACCTTCTTTGATATGGAAACAAACACTGGAGAAGTCGTCGGAAGAATGTCTGGTGACACCGTACTAATTCAAGATGCCATGGGCGAGAAGGTTTTTAATTACAAAGACCCTTTTGACACTTACTGATTATGATTGTCCCTCATTTTTATTCATCTCATCTGAATACAAATTCCATTTTCAATTATTTACTATTTTCCTTTTTATTATATTGCAGGTTGGGAAATTTATACAGCTTGTAGCAACATTCCTTGGAGGCTTTGTGATTGCGTTTATAAAAGGATGGCTTCTTACCCTCGTCATGTTAACATCCATTCCTTTGCTTGTGATATCCGGTGGAATAGCAGCCATTGTCTTATCCAAGATGGCGTCCCAGGGCCAAAATGCATATGCTAAGGCTGCAATTGTGGTAGAGCAGACAATTGGCTCCATTAGAACTGTATGTCACTGATGTTGTTAACTTTCTTTGTTTTTTTCGTCTCTCTTGACCTGTTTTATCCTGCATAGATAGTGTAATGGTTGAGAACAATATATGTGTATCTAGGTTGCTTCATTCACTGGGGAAACGAAAGCAGTAGCTGACTACGAAAGATCCCTTGTGAAGGCTTACAAATCAGGAGTACATGAAGGGTGGGCCAGTGGATTCGGTTTTGGATCCGTTATGTTCATTATATTCGGCAGCTATGCTTTGGCTATTTGGTTTGGTGCAAAGATGATCTTGGAGAGGGGTTATACGGGTGGTGAGGTTCTCAATGTGATTATTGCTGTGTTAACTGGTTCCATGTGAGTAATATTTCTTTTCTGACTTAAGACAACACGCATTCCATAAGTTGAGTTGACAACACGCATTACATATTCAAACTTGTGGATTTTT